CCCCTCCCCCGGTTCCGCCGCCCCTGCAAAAGAAAATGTGCCTACGAGCTATTTCACATTAATGTGAAAATTTGGGCACTAGAAATTAGAGCCTTTTATTAGAAGTTAGACTTTGAAGGTAAATAAGAATGTAAAGAATAATCTCCTAGTACTCAGTAGCACAGATATTGTTGTTTCAGGTGGGATGGCAAGTGTAGCGTAGTGGTTGAGCATCGTTCGATCATGTTTTATATTTGTGGAACCACTCGTAAATAAAGTTTGTTCGATGCATTTTTCTCTCCCTTGCCACGAAGGTTTTTTCTCCAGGTTCTCCGGTTTTTCTAGATCTCCTTCCGTAAGAATCAGCATTTGAGCTGAGAGGTGTATATAAAGAATACTGAATAGAGCAGTGCAAGATAGATAAAGGTTCTTTGATGCCAACGCGATTACAGCTCAGCAACACTCGACTTAGTAATTTCAAAACATTTATGATATTAGATCCTTCGTAACAAGTCTCAATGGCGGCCATATTGGAATTACCTAGCGAGAGCCTGGGACGAGCTGCACAATGAGATGTGTGTAAGTAAAAAGCCATCCAGAGCTCTTTTCGGTGCCTGTAAGTCGCCTGTATAGTCATTTATAAAATGCATTTGATCAGCATTGTGCGTTCCCAGAATTCCAAGCGTACTTTGAAAAATCACGCGCGCATTACTGATGTCATAGTTAGACTTTGATGACGTCATTTATGATCAAAAATTAGATTCTTTGTAAAAAGTTGAATTGGCAAGACGTGTTTGAGTATCAAGTAATTTTTATTGTTCAAAATGTGCGGAACATTTCAGTCTAAATTTAAGCGCAACAACAAAGTAGCGCCTGTACCATGTCCTTTCGAACTAGAAGTACTCAGAAGAGCCAAAATCCAAATCGAGAAAGAAAAAGCTCTTTTGAAGAAAGAAATCGCCATACAAACCGGATCAAGTCTCGTGTTCCTGGATACTGAGACCAGCAGATGTGGAACGCCAGCGTGCGTTGCATACGATCCGAATTTGAACGGCAACATTGTACAAAAGGGTTTGAAAGCAACCTGTCCACGAAGACTGGCAAGGGACCCGAAGTTGCCCGTCCTGACAAGAGAGATGCTGCTTGAGAAGCAGGCACAGGCAGAACAGAACAGAAACAAGCAGCTTGAAAAGAAAAGGAAAGCCGCCGCCTTGAAATCCTTGCAAGCGAAGGAGAAGAAATTAGAAGAGGAAGAAGAAAAATTGGACAAGATTACAAAAATAAACGAAAAGCTGGTCAAGGCCGCCGAGAACAGACAAGCTCAACTCGAAGGCGTTAAAACTAAAGCCAAAAAATCTTCCAACAACACGCGCATCAAGATAGCTGAGGCACAGAACTTTGCCAAAGCACAGCAGACTTTGGTGCAAAGTGACAGAAAATTGAAAGAAGCTCAAATTACCAAAAGAGAAAAAGCTGTAAGCAAGGTTGTCAGAAAACAGCGGCAACGTGAAGCACAAGCCCAGAAAGTCCGACAAAGGGCAGCCAAGCAAATGCAGGAAGAGCAAGACTGTGTTCGTGTGTTTAGTGTGGAAGTCGATCAACACTTCTATGCATCGGTCAGCGAGAGTGACAATGACATGTGGGATGCTGGATTCTGGGACAGGAAAATCTCCTGAAAACAAAATGATTTCGTCTCATTACCAAAGTTTTTCTTAAATACTTGAAAATATTTTTGCCTTTTTATATTTATAGATATAAATTCTTTACTACATAAAAAATAAAATTCAATATTTCATATGCATTGCTTTTTTTGTTTTTGTTTGCATTTTCTGAGGAGAATAATAAAAGAAAGGAATCAACAAAAAGGGGAAGTAGTTGGAGAAGAGAAGAGAAGAGAAGAGAAGAGAAGAGAAGAGAA